GAAGAGTAATAAATTTGCGAATATGATAATAAATTAGTAATAAATTAGTAACAAATTATAGTACTATTGCAAATCCGAAATATTGAAGTGGTTCTGCTAAGTTTATTGGGGTGATAGAAATTACCTGGACACCCTTGACATAGATGTAAACTATGGAAAAATAGCTAATTGTTTTGAAAAAAACACTTCTTATCAAAGATGTAAAAACAAATTCAGGAAAGACTCCAAACCCTGGTTCACCTCAAAAGTGCTACAAGCGATAAAACATCAAGAGTATCTATACGAAAAGAAAAAAGATTTCCAAGTAATGAATATTTCTTCGACCAACACAAAATCGCTCAAAAATCTGTAAAAACGGAAGTCAAAGCTGCGAAGAAGAAATATTATGAAGATTTGAAGAAAAATTCAATAGAACTAATGGGGATCAAGAAAAACATGGAAAATCAACAACATCATTAGAAACGAGTCAACAACCTATACAAACCATATTTCTTCTATAAAAACAGATAACAATGACACCATCACAAGTCCGGAAGAAGTCTGCAACTATATGAACAACTATTTTGTTGGAATTGGGGAAAAACTGGCCGCAAACATCACATCCCAAAATATAGACCCTGCCAAGGAAACAACTTGTGATGCCAGATTCTCATTCACCCCGGTAACACAGGAGGATATAGGTAAAATTATAGATGACCTGGATACATCCAAGGCACCAGGATGGGATCAGATTGAAGCAAAGACTGTGAAAGAGTGTAAACTTCAACTACAAAGTGTTTTGTATAAACTTATAAACCAGTCCTTATCATGTGGTAAAGTACCAGAAGTCTTCAAACTAGCGAAAGTGTCACCTATGTATAAGTCCGGTGATAAGGAAGACCCAAATAACTATCGCCCTTTATCAGTGCTTCCAATACTATCGAAAATAATTGAGAAAATCGTGAACAAGCAACTGCTGGAATATCTTGAAGAAAATAGTATATTGACCAAATCACAGTATGGCTTTCGCAAGTCAAGTGACACCACCAGCGCTGCTGTTGATCTGATATCTGAAGTACAAATGAAAATTGATAAAAAAAAAAAGTGTGCTCTTGTTTCACTTGACTTGTGTAAAGCCTTTGACACAGTCAACCATGATATCTTACTGGAAAAAATCAAATAGAAAGCAATTCATCCAATACGGTTCATATTCTAGTGAAAAGAAAAAAAATTACCTGTGGTGTACCACAGGGATCGATTTTAGGTCCCACCCTATTCCTCATTTACATCAACTCTTTAACGAACATAACTATTAGAGGGGAAGTCCTACTGTATGCAGATGATACAACAATTGTATACTTTGGAGAAACATGTGATGTCATCTCTCAGAACATCGAACAAGACCTCCAGTGCTTGACCAAATGGTTATCTTGCCATAAGTTGACACTCAATTTGAATAAATCTTCTTTCATGTGGATTGATAAATGTAAGGTGCCTGATTACACCAAAAAAGAAATATCATTTGAAAATAGTACTATGAAATACTATAGTAAAATTAAATTTCTTGGCCTGATCATTGATGAAAAGCTTTCATGGCATGAGCACATTGAATATGTACGCAAAAAAATTATAGGACCAGTAGGTGTTCTTCGGAGATTAAGTTATACTGTGCCAAAATATCTATTGAGGTCAGTTTACTTCTCCCTAGTTCATTCCCATCTGGAATACCTAATCATCATATGGAGCTCAACTTTTGAGTTATATAACACCACTGAAAACACTACAGAACAAAGCCATCAAAAACCTGTATCAATTAGCAATGAGCTCTACAACATCAAATCTGTTCGGCAAATACAATATCCAAGGGATAGAGGCAAATAGAGGCTATCCAGGGATCTACCTGGATAGCCTCAATGTGGTGAAAGTTAATGAATTTATTCATCAAGCACTGAATCAGGTGAGACACACTCAAATGGAGTTCCCTATGAGATATGAAATTCATCCATATGAAACTAGACAATGCAAAGATATATCTTTACCACGAATATGCTCACGTCATGGCCTGAATTCACTGTTATATAAAGGAGCAGCAGAATATAACAAACTCCCCTCCAACATAAAAAAATTGAATGTAAACAAATTTAAAATTGTCATGAAGAGACACGTTCCCTTGTATACCCATTGAAAGCACTATTTCATTATATCAGTCATTAACCTACTACTGTGATATATCTAACCAAATATTTTATTATCTCAACTATTTCACTGTGATACATCTTAACTTGTTTATTGTGTTATTCTACCGTAATTTTTATATTTAGAATTCAACTTTATACATTTCTTATATGTTTACCTGTAGATATAGTGATTGATTATTGACATGCCCACAAAGGGCAGAAGTGTGTGATATCAAATTATTTTTGTACCTATTATTAGAGGTATCCCTATGTAACACTCTGTGTATTTTGGGATGAAATAAACGCTAAAAAAAAATAGAGATGAAAGCAATAGATATCCAATAAATCAAGATTGGATATAAGTTGTCTGCGACACTAAAGTGTCTAATGGTGAGTTGAAAAATATCTCCAAGTCTCTGTAAGATGTAGAATTGCTGAAAACATAAAGCTCCTTGGAAAAGATAACATTTCCAAACAAGCTAGGATATATTCCAATCATTTCGATATCAGTGATATAGGCTCTAATGAGGCATATCCATTGAATGATTCAACGGAAGTTGCACTAAGGTCTTTGCTGATGAAAACAGTGCTGTTTAAAAAACAATGAATTATTCTCATGTTGTTCTTTCATTTCGGTCCTGTTGTCGAGAAGCACTTATAGGTGCTATTTGCTATATATAACTTATCGTAACTATTGATAATTGTGCTTGCTCTGTATGAGGATAGGTTTGAATTTTGGATATATTGAGTTTTTTTTTCAATTGGTTCAATTGCAATAATTGATTTAAATAATCATTCATCAATCCACTCTCATTGAATGTATCTTAAAGATACAAATTTTATCTGGAACATTATCTGAGACACTTGGCTGTAGAAGTTTTGATCGTTTGTATACCATTTTTTTGTGATATAAATAGTAAATTATTTCTTATAGAGTTCAGTGACACTTCCTCGCTGTATGCCCTTGATTTTTCCGAGAATAAAAATCATTTCGAAAATCTTAATTTTTTTAGAACATTTTGACCTCTCAATTTTTTTTCGTCCGACGAACCGTAAAAAATAAAAACAATTTTCATGCATTTGTGGCATAACGAAATTATTTTGAAATAGTAGGCTAATGTCCCATACTGTATTTGATATAATGACATATGATCGACTACATTGCGGTCCTATTTTGACAAGTATTCATTAAAGAGACAGTTATTTATATTATGAAAATTTCTTTAATCAATAAAAATAAAATAAAATGTTGATACCCGTTAATAGTTCGAAAGTAGAGAGGTTTTTAAGGAATATGTTCATATGAACTTTTCTTCTTGAAATGAGCTTATGAACCATATATTATATTCCCAATCATCAATTAAATTAAACCCTATATATAAAGATGAACAATGATAACTCACCTATTATCAATATCTGCAAGAAACACAGACGAAAAACTAATGTACTGAAGCCAATTTTCACTTCATTGATAGCATCTCTTCACATACTGACAGCAAGATTTTAATAATCTTTCACTGAGTCTTTCACTAACACTGGCAGGTGATCATTGCTGAAATGAAGGAGCCGCATAGCTCTTTTTCTGGCTATTATTATTATAATTTATCATTATTTACGAAAGAATAACGCTATTTGCAAACAGAATCGTAAAATCGACTTCAATAAAACAAAACCTATAGCTTATGAGTCCTCATGCCATGTTGGTAGCAGTGCGCACTCTTACCTCACCTCACCCCTGTACCCCGCGCAGTCATAAAACTGGTTTAAGCCGTAACTCTGTATTAGATCTTACTTCTTTGATGGAGGAAAGTGATATTAGCTATCAAACTATGAATTATGTTTCATGTGAGTTAGCGCAAAGTTGAAAATTATGGAATCAAACAAAATATAATATTTGCAAGGAGTATGTTTCTCTCTGATTTTATGAGCTGAGACATATTTTGAATGTAGAATCTTTGAAAATGGTCTATTGTGCACAATTTGAGTCAATTATTTATTATGGGTTGCAGTACCATGTCATCTCTTGTAGCACAAAAGAATGTTCCGAAAATTTTGTTATACATGACTAGGCTGTTCTCAACTGATATGTTATTTCAAGAAAGCAAATTGTTAAACGTTGATCAGCTCTATATTAAATCTACTATTAGATTCATGATTATGAAAAAATATAGAAGTGGACTAAAACACAAACTGAACAAAAGAGCAGCAGTCAGACTGAATATCCTAGTTCCGCATGTGGCGGCGTTCAGCGACACAAGCGTTTGTTTATATCGGGCAGAAAATTCATGTCTTACCATTGCAGTTTAGAGATAAGCCCTACATACGAGTTAAATTTCATGTCAATAAACTGATCGAAAAAACCTAAGGAAATTTTTTAACGCAAACGACCAAATTTCATTTGTGTGAATTTTTTTAAACTTGTATTTTGCTGCTAGTAGTCGTAACTTTGGCGGTGTTGGGGAGATCGCGGACTACAACTTATAGTGGAATCCGATTTTCGTTTCATAGCAAAAACAAATTATCCTTGACATTTTTCGATCAGTTGAGATGGATAGTTGAAAGTGGGTTGACTATAAATGATTTATAAAACATCTCATCTTACACATCACATGCATCATAGTTGTAATATTATTATCTGCATTGTCTTCTTATTTATTGTGGTTTTCACTCTACAGGGACCTCATTATCGATAACCAAATTATTGGTAAGTTTAAGCTGGGTAGCCTGCACACACAGATTTTTATAAATCCATTGTGCATTCAACCTAATGTATTAATGTAACTGATAATCATTGTTCAATAAATTATTATTTTCTAATTTTCAATTAATGCTAGTTGTACATACCTCTCACATACAGAGCTGATTCTTTGTGGCCTATTTTGCAATCCTGGAGTTTCCAATATTTTCCTTGCTTGTCTAATTCTACCACATTCAACAAATGCAAATACCAAATCATAGAGACTATTGACTTCTCCATGTACTTTGGTGCTGAGATCCGTCAATTTCTGTAGTTTTTCGGCATCTTCAAGTTGTATAAGGTGACAAGCCAAGTCGTTTTTCCATGGAGTAACTTTGTATTGGTTTACGCACCATTCAAATTTCTCCAGCGCTTTATCCAGTTCTTTTCTGAAAATACATGAAAAAAGGCTGCAATAATATAAGCGATATATCGGATATTTCAGGAGTTATACCACCTCATATTTTCAAATTTTCATCACATTTTTCAAACCTGAATAATTTTCTATATCCAATCCACTGAAGTGGTTGTATCAAATTGGGTACCCAATAAAACTGTTAATATTTGTGAAATTATTTACGTTTTCTCATATACCACAAGTGATGGAAATATTCGGCGATTGTCACGACAGCTCAATATTTTAGCGAATGACATTGTTTATGAAAACTTTCGAACCGTAGGTATACTGCAGTGTGTCAATCGACGGATATTTCTACGAAAAATAGTATCACGAGTTGTATTCGTATGACTATTCCATGTTTGAGATAATCCATTATTCTGGCTTCCAACATAATTGACATTACGTGTAGGTCAATTCGGCTTCTGTATTGGTAGAGCAAGTCGGATAATTTTTTTTAGTAAACAAATAATATCGCTCTCATTGCAGAAGTGTTTAGAAGTGCTATCACCGTCCATGTGGGACATTTTATTTGCATCTGACTGTACATAAAGTAAGTGTATATACATACAAATACATATATGTACATATATGACATCCCGCTATTAATGCAACGTTCTATTTGCCATTAATCTGACGTTAGAGTCCAATAGAGCGTCCGAATACGGACGCCGGATTGAACTCTTAATAAAAAGAAATTTCAGCGATCGTAACACAATATAGTCAACTGTTTGCCGAAAATCGGTGTGGACGCTGGAAAGATGTAATTTTGTAAAATTCGTATATTTTTCTTATATCTTCATATTCGAGGCGTATTTGCTTCTCAGTGCTCATGTTTTTTTATGGAAATGAATTCAACTAAACCTGCTGAATACGCTGTATAGGGTGAAATGATTTGTGAACAAAAAACTACCACTTACTATACATAACAGAAGAATTTTGTTGATATAAATGTATTATTCAAGATCTTCTGGATACGCCATAGGGTGAAACAATTTGTGAACCAGAAAAAAACCCTCAACAACCCTCCGATACAGAGAAATCTTGAATCAGTTGAAATGTTCGTTCCAATTTTTTTGATAAAACTGTATTATTCCAGGCCTGCTGAATATACTATATAGGGTGAAATAATCAGTGATGCAAAAACTATCCCTGAACAACGTTCCGAAGTAGAATAATCTTAAAAAGTTTAAATTCTCGTTCGCGTTGCTCGGAAGTTTTTTGATGGAAATGAAATATCCTAGACCTGCTGAATATGTCCTTTGGTGAAATAACTTGTGAACCAGAAACTACCCTTCAGCAACCCTCCGAGAGAGAAAAATTCTATATCAGTTGAATCTCCATCAAAATACTTTGAGCAACGGATATAACACTTGTATCAATATTCGTCGACTTCTGAGGGTTGTTAAGGGATAGTTTTTGGTTCACCAATTATTCCACCCTATAAAGCAGGTCTAGAATAATTCACTTCCATCGAATAACCTTGAGCTACAGGTATATAAACTATTTCATAATTCAACTACTTTTGGGGTAGTTTTTGATTCACAAATTATTTAACCCTATAGAACGTGTCCGTCTGGAATGATTCATTCCAATCGAAACTCTTTAGAGATTCGTCTACTTCTGAGGGTTGTTTCTAGTTCACCAACCATTTCACCCCATAGAGCATATTCAGTAGGTCGAGAATAATTAATTTACAAACAAATGACCTTGTGCACTGGATATATCAACTCTTTCATGATTCGACTAATTCTAACGGTTGTTGAGGGGTAGTTTTTGGTTCACAAATTTAACCCCATATATCTATCCAGCAGGTATAGAATAGATTTTCATCAAAAAACTTCCAGCAACAGATATACAGTCTGTCCAAGATAAGGTTGAACAGCATGGGGATCTCGGAAACAGTAGGAGATACGAAGTCGTTTAAATGGGGAAAAAGTTGCGCATTCGGAGGCTCATATCAAGAGCCTTCGAAAATTTTCAAAATTATTTCTAGTTTTTTAGTTATATCGAAAAAAGTGAATTTTTGGAATATCTATTTTATTTTTTTTCTCCGTTATTATTAGAGATACAGAAGAACTGAAAATACTTTTAAGTTGCAACTTTTGATGAAGTTCAACGTGGTGATGCCGATTTTTTTATGCGACGTTTCGTATCCGTAAAACCATCATCAAGTTTTGTTTTTAAATACGGTCCTGATGATTTTGATGATTTTTTCACAGATTCTGAAAGGTTTTTTAACTCTGGAAAAACCATGTATTATACAAGGTGATTCGAATGTGTTTCGACCTATTTCTATGCATCATCAATGTTTTTTCGAACTTTTAAAGGAAAAGTGCCATCAGTTCCACTTATTTCTGATCATTAAGTGTCAAACATTGATGGATTAGTTATTCAATACTGAGAAGTGAATAAAAAATATTTCACTACATCATTCAATGCAGCGCTTGAAATTGTTGATGAATTCTTACACGAATTACTTCAACAACTTAACTTTGACAAAACCTACAGAAACATTCATAACAAATGTTCAAAATGATAACCATTATTTTCTGAACAACGATATCCTCTTCTCACAGTTGCTTCTAAGTTCTAAGACATTAACTAAGCATTTCTGGGGTTATTTTATTGAATGCTTCGGTGACACTGTCCCTTAGTTCTTCTTCATCATCAAAGTTATTTGCGTATACAAAGTTTTTGATATATCCCCTAAGAAGAAATCCAGCTGTGTTAAATCAGGCGACCGCGCCGGCCAAGGGACTGTAGAATGAGTACCAATCCATTTTTCTGGATAAAAACGAACGGACTTCTCTGGAATTATGTACCGGATCTTGTTGAAACCAACAGTTCTGAACTTCCGCAATCGGTAAATCATCCAGAGCTTCCTCAAGATGATTCTCAAGCAAATTTCTATAACGTTCGGAAGTCTGTGTTTCATGGTAAATTATTGGACCAATAATTCGTGTACCAAATATTGCAACCCACATATTAATGCCGAAACGGTGTTGTTGTCTCGCTGTAATGTATAAATGTTCATTTTCTCGTGAACAATAATGTGTATTTTTTCTATCGAAGATACCATGATTAGTAACCATGCTTTCATCAGTCCAGATGATTGTTCGAGGGAAATATGCAAAATTTTGACATTTCCTGGTATACCACTCACAGAATGTCCTGCGCCTTTCGTCATCGCCTGGTTTTAGCGCTTGACATATTCTGAATTTGTATGGATGGAATTTTTGTTTCCGCAAAATGAAATGGGTTTTTGATTGAAAACAGTTGATGAGGTATTAGTGTGTTGACTAATTTTCCTTCAAAATAAGTGGAACTGATGGCATTTTTCCTTTGGAATTTCGAAAAAACATTGATGATGGCTAAAAATAGGTCGAAACACACATAAACCACCTTGTATAATACATGATTGAATTCAGAATAGAAAAACCTTCAAAATCTGTGAAAAAATTATCAGGACCGTATTTGAAAAACAAAAGTTGGTGATGGTTCTACGAATACGAAACGTCGCATAAAAAAATCGGTATCACCACGTTTAACGTCATCAAAAGTTGCTATGAAAAAGTATTTTCAGTTTTTCTGTATCTAATAATGACGGAGACAAAAAATAAAATAGATATTCCAAAAATTCACTTTTTTCGATATCTCGAAAACTAAAAATAATTTTCAAAATTTTCGAAGGCTCTTGATATGAGCCTCCGAATGCGCAACTTTTTCCCCATTTAACCGACTTCGTATCTCCTACCGTTTTCGAGATCCCCATGCTGTTCAACCTTATCTTGGACAGACTGTATATACAGGGTGTTTCAGTTTTTTGTAGCAGGACTTTAACAGCTTGAAGGAGACATTTTTTCAAGATGAAAATCTCATACAAACATATATGCGTGGGAGCTCCGTTTCCGATTCACAGGGTGTCAAAGTTTCAGATTTTTTTTATGTTTTTTGAATTTTCTCCTACAATTTTCAGAATAATTGATTGAAATTTGGTACACCTAATACATTTCAAAAATTCAATATTTTAGGCTATTGACAATTTTTGAATACCTACAGGGTGATAGACTTTCAGGGGTCGTACCCAATTTAACCCTGTAGAACTTTTTTACGTGCCGTCTCTTCTTTCAATGGGACAGTGATTCAGGTTGTCCTTTCAATTCGGAAACTTTTTGCCCCCATGTAAATTTTTCTAAAACTGTATGGATCTCGAGATAAATGCTAAAAATAAATTACTTGTAATAAAACCGTTATTTCTCACACACTTATTTGACATTTCTTAAAAATTTTATTGGAAAATAGAATGACCGAAAGCTTCCATACCAAATGAAATTCAATAATTGCAAGATCAAATTGATTTTTTTGAACACCATTATAACTAAAACTGGAAAAAACAAAACATAAAAAAAAATCTCAAACTTTGACACCCTGTAAATCGGAAACGAAGCTCCCACGCATATACACTATCGGACAAAAGTAAAGCAACACTTTCGAAAAATGAAAGAAATCTCGATTTTATAATAGTGAATGCATGATATTGTATTTAAATACATTGTGTTTTAAATATCAAAGTAGGCTGCTGTTATCGACGTCAACAGCTTTTTCCAACATTCAAAACAAATGAACTGATATTGACGTAAACTTTCAAATACAGAATTGTAATGCGTCAAAAGTAAAGCAACATTTCAATATATTACTAAAAAACAAAGGTTTTACTGAAAGGAAAAGTAAAAAAAAATTGCCGACTTTATTTTATGATTAACAAATATTTCTGTGCTGGATTAATCATGCCAAGAGGTATTCCAATTGCGAAAGAATTGAAGCACTTGGAAGGTGCAATACAAGCCACAATTTCAAGACGGTTTGTTTTACCCAGATACAGCGTATCCAAAATAATTTCAAGTTACCATGAAAGGGGACATTTTGAGATTCTACCTAAATCGGGAAGACCGAGAAAAACAACAATTTGGACAGACAGACGTATCAAAA